AAAGCATCTGTGGCACAGCAATAACTGGGATTGTCTTCTAACATGCAGCATACTTCCTTCCCAAGTGATCCTTAAACCAGAGTTGTCAGTCAGAGTATTTCAGACCCTGTGGGAAAACCTGATTTCCCACCACTAATGCACTGATATCCAGCAACCCTGAAAATTTCCATTCACTAAACAGCAGCAAAGCTCCATTATTTTCCTCTTTGTTCTTGTTATAAAAATGTATCTCACATATGGCGTGGGAGGGAAATGCTACAGAGTGCATTTAGAGGACATACATTGGTGAATTAGAATTGGCACTCGAAGTACATTTTAAAAGTCACTGAAAACAGAACAAACCTCTATCAATTAATGCATTAGATACTAATCTGATTTGATTCAAACACAAGAATTTTAACAGTCACAAGTGCAAATATTCTCTGTTTATCTTAAAAATTTCTTTCTTTTACCACAATTATGAAGTTTTTTTATTTTTTTTGTAGTTGTTGTTTTTTTTTTTTTTATTTTCTATGTTACCAGAAGCATCTGGCCTTGTCTTATGGTAAAAGTCTTGTGTTTTGTTTGTTTGTTTGTTTGTTTTTAATTATTCTTTAACTGTTTGGAAACAGTAGTGCCGAGGTACTAACAGGCCAAGTCTTGTTCTTACCCCTGCCATCAAAATGGTTCCAAAGAGCATTGATCAACATGGTGTTAGGTGCTCTCATATAAACTTGTATATATATAACATATGAACATATATATAAAACATATAAAACTCCACCTTTGACAACCACACTTTTTTCACATGCTTTAAGAAAGCTGTAGATTTGCAAGGTTTGTTCTGTTTTTTCCTATTTGGGTTGCCATTTGGAGCATACAGCTGGGCAGGTATCAACTTAACTTTCAGTCAGACATTGCTCTACTTTCTGGCCTGACTACCCAGTTAATTTGAACTTTTTTGTTTGTTTTGTTTTTGTTTGCTTGTTTGTTTTTAAATTTGATGCAAAATGTTAGGAAAGGTTTTTAAAAGCTAATTTGAACATAAAATGAATTAGTAATACTTCACGGGATACTTGGTTGTTACTCTGTAACAACAGAGTAACTACAGAGTTGTTACTCCTGTGGATGAGAAATTCGTAGGTTTGCCCTCTGAACAGAAAAGTAGAATGAGAATAAAAAATACATTGCTAAAGCTGCAAAGTCCTTTAAATACCCCAACATACCAGCTGCATGTCTAGACACTCTGTTCCTAAGATTTTGAATACAAAATAAGGCTTTCGGCTTTCCTAAGTAAGGGGTTGTCCTTGAATATAAAACAGACATGGCTTTGCTTTTGACATTGACCTGCTGTACCAGAAAAATACATTGCATTCAACAAAAACTATCTTTTTTTTTTTTTTTTACTTTTGTTAGAAATGACAGAAAAATTCTCTCTGCACATTTTTTTTTTTTTTTAATTTCATGTATTGCTTTTTTATTTTTATTTTTAAGGTCTCTTGCTAATGCTTGGCATGATGGAAGTCTTCATTTTATATTAGAAAATATCTAAACTATCTGTTATTCTCTCCCCTTGACAGAGTTTCCAAGGAATGACAGGTATCTTTCAAGTCTCTGTGTGAAAGCCAAACAATTCTGGGCCTCCTAAAGGACATTCCCACCCTGTATAATGTATTGCTCTTGATTATCATCAAGATTGAACCCAGACAAAAGTTTCTACTGCCCTATTTCTGCTTGAGGTGTTGACTTAGTTGTAGCCATTCCCCCTAAAAATCAATAGGAGAGTTAGGGGCTTTCTGTAGTGATGGGTCCTTTGGTGGTTCTCTAAAAGGCGAGATTCATACATTCAGAAAGGTATGACAGTAACATTCTGGTGTGTTCTTCTTTCAGGCTATGTTCCCACTCCTGTTTGCATCACGATGAACTTGTGAGGCTGAGTCATTCTCTAAATCATGTTACAGCTGCTGAGTTCAGGGAACGGAGGAGGGAAGAAAAACCTGTGACCACACAGCAGTCCTGTTAAAAGCAGAGTCAGATGAACTGACTAAGCAAAACAGCAGGCCTTCTCTTTGTTTTCTAGACCAGTTTGCTCCAGTCAGTACAAAGGAGTGGAAAACTGAAGGATGTCAGTCTTCAACACAAAAACTATGGTTAGGACTATGTAGCTAAACCCGATAAGAGAAATGTCAATTTAGAGGAGAGAATTGCTGCTAACCTGAAAGGGGTGCAGTGACACAACTGTGCTCTGGAGAAAAGGGAAAATTTGTCTCCATGTGGATGACTGAGCTTTGAGAAAGGGCATGTCTCAGCCATTAACTGCATGTGCCTCTGACACCATCCTTCTTGCTGTAAAGATGGGCTTTCAAGTGACACGGGACTGTAAAACCTGTTATTCTTGTACAATTCGTGTAGGAATTCCCGGATTACGCTGAATCAGGAAAAAAAAAAAAAATAAAACCCTTGCTGGGTCAAAATATTCTTGGATCCCCTAATGATTTTTTGCCCTGTAAATCTGTGGACGATGACTCTTTTGCTAGGTGGAAGATCAGGTCAGTTTGTTTGTTTGCTTGTTTGCTTCCTAGTTTTCCCTATTCTTCCAGCATAGGCAGGTTTGGAGCCACAACTGCTAGAGAGGAGTTCATACAAACTTCTCCAGAAAGCCCCTGGGGATGGAGGGCTCAGGCAGTAAGGTCTTCACCTGCGTCAACTGGGGACCAACCCTTTGCTGTAGCAGCAGTACTGAGGTCCACAGAAACCAAAGGCAATGGGGGTCCCAGACTGTGCAGAGTCTCCAGGTGAGGGCTGAAGAAGCTGTGCAGTTTGGTTAAGCAGACTGGCTCTACCTGGGGACAGGCTTTTTAAAAGAACATGGAATAGAGGAAGCTGGAACAGATAAGCTGCTACTCAGAATCTGTTCTGGAAAGAAATACCTTCTTAAATGGATAGTAAGAACAGAGTGCACATGCTGCATCATGGACACAGTGGATGAGGAAAGTAAGTGTGAGACTGCCCATCTTGGTTCTACTACAAGTTAAAAATAAATAAATAAATAAATAAATAAAAACCTAGGTCTAAGTTTGTTCCTATGTATAAGAATAACAGATCTCAGGAAATTTTCAGCTACCTGGCCTGTTTGCTAGTTCTAAGTACCTTTTTGACAAAATTTTAAATGACTGGAATCTTTTCTTGTCGTGGAAAAAATAACAATTTACTGCAAAACCCCTTATTCTGCTTAAGCAACCATGCATTAAATTAAACACTTCATAAATCTTTTTAAAGTTCCCATCCAAAGCATACAGAAGGAGAGATGCCTTAGCTCTTAACATCTGAATGTTAAGATGTAATTATAATATATGCATATGGCAAGGTAGAGAAGAAAATGTTATGATACATTTGTTTTTGCCCGTTTCACTGATTAATCATCTGTGTATCCAGCCCTGTTCCTTGCCTATTCAGCCATTCCCCAAAAAATATTCTACATGTCCAGACACCTGTATTTTCATACAGCTACCCTTTTCAGTATCCTACACCTTTAATAGATGTGTCCTTTCACCCCCAAGGTCCACAAGGTGCAAGGCATCGAGTGGGTCTCTGTGGGTACCTCTGTGTGTGAGAGCACAGTGGTGTCAGCTGTGGGACCAGGGGCTCTGGGTATGCATGTGTGCTGTTCCAGCATCTGGAGTGGGACTGTGGTCCTGGCAGCTCATGCCTCCAGGTGTCAGCAACTGGAAATGGGGATTGAGGGCAGCTACTCAGCAGACTGAACACCTGAGCACAGGTGCCGGGGGGATCCACCTTGTACATAAGTATATACCTATATATATCCTTTTTATTAGTAGACTTCTGTCCTGCTCACCCAGATAGGCGAGCAGGATGAGGCCATTGGTACTGTGTTTGTGTGAGTGCTCTCAGTGTCTGACTGTGATCTGTGCAGCTGGCCATGTATATATGTGCTGTGTATGTGTAACCTCTGTGCAAGTTCCTGCTGAAAAAAAGCCTTCAGACATCCTGCTGTTTGGACCTGGTTGCATGGAGTTGCAGCAGCCTCACCTCCCTCAGGCTATCTAATCTGGAATCATATATTTTGCTCTAACCAATGGCACTCTTGTGGTATCCATATCCACAATGTACCTGTACATTTCTGGGAAAACAAAAACAAAACAAAACAAAACAAACAAACAAAAACACTTCATGATGCTTCATATTCATGAGCTTGTCACCACGTGCACATTTCAAATGACCAAACTGCACGTGGAAGAAACCAAAGATTTAGTTGACGAAAGTCAGCAAATGTAATTAAAGATCTGCTGACAGGTTAGGTAACCTTGAGTTTTGAGCCTGTCTGAATTACTGCAAAAGTTACTAGGGGGTGAGCTGGGGAGAAGAGAAGGGGCATTCATACAGACAAGATCTCTCATTCTTCTCAGCAAATTCTGAGCTGGAACAGAAGACTTCTGATTTACACTGGGAAGGGACTAGAAGAGGTTCCCAAGTCCTTTCACTGAATTCAGTTTCAGTCTGTGTGACTCTTCTTCACTCGTCTGTGCTAACCACCATCTGTGTATCCAAGCCTAGGATGTTTGATACATTCCTCAATTTTAAGCGATATCCTTCTTCAGGTAACTACAATTTTACTCACTTCATTCATGAATTACATAATATTTTCTTTCAAATCTGAGCCAAGAAACCAAATATCTGAACACTTAAATATTGTACAAACTAGTGCAATTACAACTGGATGTAACCATACAGCAACAGAACTTTTCTTTACCAATATTGAGAAGTTTATTTTTGAAAAACTCTTTTTTGTTGTTTTGTTTTGTTTTCCTCTTTTAAATCTTTTGCAAGCTGGGTACATCTGTATTAGCAAATCAAATTACTGAAGGAGCTCTTTCTAGATATGAACTTGCTTTTCATCTGTGCTGGGAGTCCTGCAAAATACAATCGAGTGCCCAACTAGTATAAGCCAAGCAGCTTCCCCCTAGTGGTAGCAAAGTTGAAGCCACATACCAAGACACATACCCAGCACAAAGCAGACATGACTTGCCCCAGCAGCTAGCTATTGTCTTGTACATGATGTGGGCATAAAACATTCAGTGAGAGTGAATTTCATCGCTGATCTGAACATAAGATCCTGGAAAATACAGGATTGCAACAAATCAGACATCACAGTATACAGTTATTAGGGCATCTGTAATAATTTTTTAGTATCTAGATCTGTAGATAAGTACATGCAGTTTTGCATAGGAGTAATATACCCCTTTTGTGAACAAGAACAACACAAATCAGTTCATGAAACTAGATAGTTAATTATTTATATGTCCCTGAGTTGCAAATTTATTTATGGAAATTAACATAATCCTAAATATTAAGCAAAATATTTTCTGCTAGGAAAACAACATGTTTTTGTTTCTTCTGCCTCTCTGATTCCCTGCCAACTTCAACTTTTGCTTAATGTCTGCAACAATATTATTACTTTGATACACACCCACTGATGATTGAAACTTTCTCACACAAAAGAAATCAAATCAGTAAACTCAGCAAGTTTTTCTAATAAAGATTTGACAAATTTGAAATAGCAGACTAGCCATTTTCTAGACCTATTTGTAGATAAAAGTTCAGATTTCACTAAATTAAGAGTGAAACCATATTTCTCCTAGGTAACTAGTTTCCTATTACAGTAGTTCAATTTTAATCAGTTAAAGTTGAAGATTTGTTTCCCTGTATAAAACACACTATTACTAGTTGCAGAGACTCAACTATTTTCATTTTCTGACAGAAATGAATTTAAAATTGCAGTTTTAACATTATTCTAATGTACTTAAAAATTTATAAAAGTTTGCAAGTGCCCACACCTGTTGCTGTTTCAGAAATTTGTGTCCAAAAAAGCTGCATGATATAGTGAGTAATGTCTGAACAGATGGATTTTCAGCTCCATAGCAATAGCTGGAAATCTGAAGCAGAGTAGGGCAGGGATATATTATTGTTTTCCCTTTATCAGCCTTAGTAACACCATCTGGCTTTCAATTACGGAACTGCAACAAAGCCTATTTTCTCTTTATCACCATCTGGTACCTCATAGTCAAGCAACAGAATCACATGACAAATTTAACTGAGGGTTTTAAGAATTTCATCCATTGCAACTTGCAAGGTAAACAGAAGCTGTAGGGTTGCATATGAACTACTAAATTAAGAAGTGTAAGGATAAAGGCACTGGAACTTGATCAGCTTACCTTCATGGAGGAAAGACTTGGAAATGCCCTGGTGTGGTCTGGCTCAACCAACAACCTCACAGATGACTTCTGGGACCACTCAGCATTTGGATGCAAGTGGATGGGCACGTTTGGAGGCTCTGAGGGTTTGATAGCATGGCCAGACTATTTTAGTTGTCCAGGCTAGAGAATGGTCCCAAGGACTATTTAATTTCCTAGTACAGCAGTCTTGTTGCTTGGGAAGAGCAATGTTATTGTTCCTACCCACCCAAAACATAAGAAGAAGACACCAGATTGTGACTGATTACTCAGTGATACAAGCTTTTGGCTTTCTGCTGTCCGCAGTTGCTGTACATGGGATTATTATGTAACACATTGATGTTTTTGGAATATTTCCATCCCTTGTGCGAAGAATCTTGATGAGGGTGGAAATAGTTCTGGGTTAGAGACGTTGTTCTGAATGCATGTTACTGTTCTTAAAATTACTATCTTCCATGACACTTGGTGAAACACTCTAGGAATGAATGATTAGTTGAATTAAAATTAGTTTCAGGTATCATTGAGAATAAATTGTGCTTATTCATTTTATTACAGCATGTGTAAAGTCGTGTGATATGCCTTTGTAACTACCATATGATAAACCTAGACTCAGGTATTTATCAGCTGACATCATAGTTGAGACTTTCATACGTTTATCAAGGCATGTTTATATTCAGAATATAAGCAAGTCTATATTCAGAATATAATTTCTTACATGAAGCTCATATTCTTCACCCTGCATTGCAATCAAAGTTACTGATAGGTTAACTAATGATTATATCAAGGTAGAAAAGTTATCAGAGGACATTGAATAAATGTTTGAAGCAATGTTACATACTATCTATCAGGTTTAAAGTGCCAACCTAAATTGTCTATCATCAACATTTCACAATTTCATAGTTTATTCCTTGTCTGCCAATAAAATTATTACTCTTCCTGCTTTACATGTATGATAAGCACCATTGGTTTAGTAAAATTAGACATAAATAATATTTTATTATTTAGAGCAGCTTTTGAACAACAGCAATAGCTGTATTCTGTCCCTTAGAAGCATATGAGTGTTCTCTGACTGACCTTTGAAATCACTGACAGAAATATTAATTCTGAAAATGTACATTGGGTTCACCAGTGAGATGCTCCTATTTTACACTGGTAAATTACATTAATTCCATTGACATTGTATGTTTCATAGAAACTGAAGTAAAGCAGCAGTGTGTAAGATCCAGAAAACAGTATTTTAAGAAAATTATAAACTAGCTTCTGTTCAACTAGATGTTGTATGACTTAGATTTAAGACCAGCTCAGTGCTTTTCTCAAAGTCTTTCGACCTCAAGATACATGTAAACCTCAAACAAAATGGAAGTATGTATTGCCACTCAGTCCTTCCTGTATCACATAAATAGGTGGACAGAGATGCATCATAGCTTTTATTTTTTGAGAGTTTATGTTTGTTATGGCCCTGATTCCAGACAAATATAGAGAATGTGAGTAACTAAGGACAGAGGAAAATACATCCTTTCAGTGTAGACAGAGATGCATGTAATCCTGGCCTTTCTCACTTTGAGTTCCCTTTAGGAACTGAATGTTTAACAAATAACATCACTTTTATTTCACTGGCCTTTCCATGGGTATTTAAGAGGGATTGCTTCTCCTCTTGAACTATGTGGTCTCCTGTAAAAAAACAACAACAACAACAAAAATAAAAATCTGATTTGTACATTATTCATGGTTGCTGAATATTGTTTAATAAAACTGGGACACCTCACAGCTGATTAAAAGCGTAATATGGTGAAACATTCATCGCTGTGATAAAAATAGCCAAACAGGGTATTTATTGGATCTGAATTTATTAACAGGAATTACGGATATATACAAATGTATATTATGAAATCTCTTTCCCCACTGAGTGATGGTTCAGGTGAAGGGTTTGCTTACTATAATGAAAACTGGTATGGCTAGCAAGAACTCCGAGATTCCCACTGGGGAATTACTGTAACATGCACAACCAGTGCAGAGTGGTATTATTTTGGTAAACATGATCTGAACGTACAGGTTCTGCCTGTGCTCATTCTCAAGCAGCATGTCTCATGCCAGTAAATTCTAGATTGTATCTGCCTTGTCACAAAAGTGCAGGTCCTGGTCATGCAGCAACTGGGCTAAGAAAGACATGTCTGGCATGGATGGCAAATTGACCATCCTGACCAGCTCTGCTAGGCAATGAACCCAGGAGAGCTATGCTGCACCACAACACTCACCCTCAGGTTTACCAGTACTAGATGTTGATTAAAAACAGAAACAACATAAAAAAGTGTAGTATGGAGAATTCATCTTGGTCTTCCAATGCATTTTTTGAATTCTCTTTCTAGGTTAGAAATAATTTTGTGTCATAAAAGTAATCTTAATTTTTCAAAACATCATTACTTTTCACAAGAAACAGTAAAAGATTATATAAATTGTATTAATTTAAATTATAATTTTAAAAAAGTTTCAAGCTTGAAGTTTTTATTTAAATGTAAAAAGTACTTTTTAGAAACTTCATACCATATGCTGATGGGCATGTGGTTGCTAAACTTTTTATTATTTTTATTTTTATTTATAGATAGAAGCACATTTAATGGTAGGCTCCAAATTATGATTCAGCCCCTGATTTCATTCTACCGAAATGCCAAATAATTTGCTAACAACTGGGGTAATGAAACATGAGACATGGTGAGCCTAACTCATCAGAGATTCATATGGCTAACCAATTTATTTTTTTAATTAGAAAATACTTGCTGTAGATACCTAAAAAAAAAAAAAAAAAAAAAAGTTTAAAAAGAAAAAAAAAGTTTAAAAAGTATGAATTCTTGCTATGGAAACGTCAGAATGTTAGAACAGTGGCTGGAATAAACATTTGCAAGATAATGAAATATAGTAAATGTATTTTTGATATATTTAATATTTCTTGCTAAATGAATGTTGATTTATTTCTTAATTTCATTTGTTTTGAAGAGGCACTGTAATCTTTATTTATGATACAGTTAAAGGTAAATGTGTAATCTTTTTTTTTCTATAGGAACTACCTTTTCAGAGTTAATTTCAAAGTAATTATAGTTCTGATCTTTCTTTATAGTGGATTTTCTTCCTTTTCCAGAACTTACAGCAAAAAGGAAGTACATTGCCCTTTCAAAAGCCCTTTCAAATTAAAGAGCTAATGGGATCTTTTAAACATGCTTTTAGAGTGTGTTATGTACATAATCCCCCAGAGCAAAAAGAGTCTCATCGGCTTCGATTTTTTTATGGAGCCCTGACTGAATGGCCAGCAATACTGGAACGTTTGGCTTCTTCTTGTGCATTGTTGTTCTGGCTCCTCAGAAATACAAATACCTACAACCAAAAGGAGATGAAAAGCTTTTCAAGCTGCAGTACCATTCGGTATCCTGCTGCAGAAGCTTCCTTTGTGATTCACAAAATATGTATAATGCATTGAAATGGTCACCACAACTGGGATTTGACTGATGAGATGCAGAAGAGTTCTTAAGTTTTCCTTTGCTTTATCTTTTGATAATGTTCCCTTTGGTGATCCACTCTCCTTGAGTTTCAGTCTCTACATTAATGCAAAGTTTAAGAGACATTTATTTTTCAAATTTCGCTTGAAGCATTTCCTTATTTCAAAAACAATCCCAACCAGCAAAGTGATAGCCTTAGTTATTTTACCGTTTCTATTTTTAGTTTGTAGTAATTCAGCCTCTGTACAGCTATGCTGCTTTATCTCCCAGTTAGAGGAACACTCATGAGGTGGCAGTATCCAGGAGAGACTCCCATTTATCTTGTTGTCAGTACACTTCTTGGAGTAGATGGAGTACTTTATCTTGCTGTTTATAAACCTTCAGAAAAACTACACTTAACTGGCAAATTTTAGGTACTTCTACATACAGTATAAAATTTCCAGTGGGTATGAAAACATCGGTGTAATTTCCTCTGAATAGTGATCTCTTCGTATTACTAACACTTGATAGAAAATGCAGGAATGTCTTCTTAAATATTTTTTCTTTAATAACTGCAGCTCAACAGCTGTGTCCCAGTAGTAACTAATGGCTTTGGGTACTAATTTGAGAAAACTTCTAGGAACTTTGTATCATGTGGGTGTACAGCACTTTCTAAATATGGGTTCACTTGAAAAAAGCCCACAAGTCAATTGCTTTTGAAACTATGGGTTCACAATAGGGAGTTTTTTTAGGGAGTGTTTTTTGTTTGTTTGTTTTAAAGGAAAACAGTTTTATCAGGTATTGCTCAAAGGTGGTTCTTCTACAGATTTTACAATAATCCTCTGTCATTTTATTATGTGTTATTCCTTCACCTTGTACATATCTCTCTCCTGTTCAAAGATATCACAGATAATGTGCTGTAAGCCCTAGATTTCCTGTGTGGATAAGTCATATGGCATGTGATTCAGGATCAGCAGTGCTTCCTTTTATTGATGTGTGCATTACACATATTATAGCACTGCCAGACACAGAGACAAGGTCAAGAAACTGCACTTTAGCTTCTTATTTATTAGTGGACAAAGGTAGCTAGCTGCTCTTCTTTGGTACTAGCATTATTATGTGGGCAGTTTAGGCCATATGTGGAGACAAAAGGAAACAGCAAGTCTTGATAGCACTGGGTTGAATACAGAAACTGACCACATGAGTTGAAGAGAAAAGCTTTTGCAGCAAGAAAAAATTTTCTTATCTCTGAGGTATGTCCATCAGGGCTACTCTTTGGGATGCTTCTTGAACAAAAAGCATTGGTATAAAAGAACAAAGAACTATGGCTTGTTCGGTCTTTCTTGATAGCTTCCTTTATTCTAAGTCTTCCATTGTCCTCAACAAAACTTGTGCCTGTGCTTTGCAGAATGCAGGTCTGCCTATTTTCATTTACCTCCTACTCTGCTCTCTGAGAAAAAGCCACGCAAACCGTGCATACACACGCGTTTGTACATGTGCGATAGGGAAGGCTGAGTGTCAGAAAAAAGAGCAACTCACATTTATCATTCAATTATTTGTTAACTTTCCCTTCTATGCTCCAACCGTGAAGAAAAATTCTGTATATGTGCCCATTTTTCATCAGTTTTATAATCTGCACGTTTCTGAGGATTGCAGCCTCTAGCCAAGTTTGCACGCACAAGGATGCAATTTGCCAATTTTAAGAAATAAATAAAAAAGGTCATTCTTAGAAATCGTTAGGAAATTGGCACCGCTGCTACTGAATTACCCACCGGGAACCTGCCACTCCACATCCTCGATTTCGAGTCTCGTTAAACGCCACTACTTCAGAGCGTGAAAGAAAGAGCCGAAGACGAGGTGCCGAGCTCCGGCAACCAAGCACCACCGCCCCGGGGGGATGGCGGCAGGCGGCGGGGGGCGCCCCGACGGCCCCTCCACACCGACGTGGCCTCTGTTCTCTCCTCGGCATCAGCTCGGGGGCTCCGGCCACGGCCACCTGCGGGACACAGGGATGAGGGGCGTCAAGGCGCCGCTGCCTCCCTCTCTCCCCGCTCGAGGGGAAAAACCCGTCCTCGTCCCCGTGGGGGACGCGAACCCGGGTCCTCCCCGCGGGGCCGCTCTTGAAATGGCCGCCCCCTCCCCTGCGCGCCCACCACCCGTCTCACCCCAAGGGGGGCCGCGCCCCCAGACTACAGCACCCCATAGCGGGTCGGGGGGCTCCGGGCCCCACCGTGTGTATCGGGAGCGGAGCGGGTGCGTGTGATGGTGGTGCCGGTGGGGGGCTCCGGGAGATCCTGGTGGTGTCGTGGGGGAGCTGCGGAGTCCCTCCCCGCCCCGAGCACCCCCGGTGCCGCCGTCTCGGCGGGGGCCGCGGCGCGGAAGGAGCCGCTCCGCCTCTGCCAGGGACGCCCCCCCCAGCGCCCGCCCTCACCTCGAGCTGGCGGCGCTGCCTCCCCGCGCTGCCGCCTCGCCTCGCCCGTCCCCGCCGTGCCGAGCCGCGCAGAGCCGCGCCGAGCCGAGGGGGCTAGCCGGCCAGCCCTCGCTCCCACCGCCCCCCTTTTACGGCTGCCTCCCCCCTCATCCTCTCTCCGCAGTCAGGAGAGCAGCCGCGGAAGCTCGCTTGCTCCCGGCCCTGCCGGCGATGGAGCGGGCGTCGCCCCCCGCCTCAGCCTGCCCGCCGCCCACAGGAGGGCGGTGACCGAGCTGGCGCCCCGCCGGGGGCCGGCGCGACCCCTCGCAGCGCCCCGCTCGGATGTCACGGCGCCCCGGCCGCTGCCCACCTCGGGGGGGGGTCGTGGAGGGGGCGGCAGGCGCAACCCCGGCTGCCTGAGGGAGCTCCCCGGCCGCCGCCAGGTAAGCGGTGGGGTTGTGGGGCTAGGGGGGCGGGGGAAGCAGTCCCGCTGCCGTCGGGGGTATCGGCCGCGGGGAGCCCGCCCAGCGGGGCAGGGGAACTTTTTGGGTTTTTGGGGGGCACCCCCTCACCCTGCGGTGCCCCTCCGTCTTCATCCCCCACGGTGTGAGGGGGGCGAGCGGACGCGGGATGGGGGAACCCCCTTCCCCCCTCCCCCCCCGGCGCTCTCGCGGGGGAAGGGGGACGGATGGGTCGCTGTTGTGGGCATCGACCCCCCCAAGAAAGGGCTCCCTCCCACACACACGTCTAAACCTGTGATGCTGGGGGCTGGAGCCCCCCGGGGTGTCAGAGAGCGACAGTCCTTTGTCGCCGGCGAGGTGGATGTGCCGCTGTGCCCGCATCCCCCCCGGGTGGTGGTGGTGGGGGAAATGCTCCGCGTCCTGTCGAGCAGCCCCCCCCGAGTGCCTCCGGGGGCAGCCCGAAGTCTGGGGGCCCCCGCACGCACCTGGCAGAAGCACAGGTACGGCCCCAGGACCACCTGAGGCCACGCGGCCCCGCCGCTCCCCTGGGTGCAGGCTGCGGGGTCTCGCCCGCCCTGTCCCACAGCTGCCGGGATCAATGCCAGATGTTCCTGAGCGTTTCTCGCTCTCCCCCCCTCACCCCCCCGCCCCGTAGCTTTCCTCGCCAAGCAGAGAGGAACCGCAGTGCTTTCTCATTGTATGCCGCTATTTCGAAACGCTGTTCTCTCAGAAGTGTAAGACCTTTTCGTCTAAGAAGGAAAAAAAAAACCTCTGGACGATTCAACATAAATCAGATTTAACTTGGATGTCTTACCCAAGTGTTGGTGGGGTGTGTGTGTGTGGGGGGGAGAGGACCACACTCCTTTTTTTTTTTTTTTCTTTTTTTTTACTGGCTTTGTCATAAAAATGAGCTGTGCAGCCCTCATTTCAGTCAAAACTACAGCATTAAGGGATGGAAGTGAAAATTAGTTCGTGTAACGTTAAGGGAGGTAATCCGTGACCTGTAAAACCTGCACCCAGTACTTCTGAAGCCTTACCCTGCTTCCTGCAGCGATGCACCTGGGATTGAGGGGTCTACAGTCTAAAGTGTGTCCAAGATTATTTCACCTGAAACTGCTGTGTGTACCCTGAGAGAATTATAGAGCGTTTTATTCATTCACTGTCAGAAGCAGCATTCACATAAAAAATAATACAATGATAATCCAGTAGGAGGTGGAAGAGAAGGGTGCCTTTTCCAGTGGAAACCATGCGGTTAGGAGATGCTCAGTCTCCCTGCTGCCTGCAATCCGAGCAGCAGCCGTGCCATTAGGGGCTACACCCTTTCCAGGAAGTGCTTCCCCGTGGATGTGAAGCTGCCGTGTGGTCTGCTCCGGTGCATAATGGACCACAGCGGAGGGAGGGTGCAGAGGGAGGGTGCGCGAGCGTGGTGGGGTTGTGCTTTCTCCTGCTGTGTGTGTGCAGATGCCCCGGTGGAAACGCGGTTTGGGATTTTTCCTTCAGATCAGCATATGAAACGATTGACTCCTCAGCTACTGTGCCACCTTCTCACCTTTCTCTCTTGAAACGTAGTGGTTTTGACCGTAGCTAATCTGTGTGCAGCAGAACAGCAGTATTTCATTTTTTTTCCCCTTTTTGTTAAACCAAAGGTCCCTGAAAACTGTTTTAGCTGCTCTGAATCTCCCCCCTCCCATCGTCCCCCCTCTTGAGAAAGTAGGGATGACACCTATGTAGACCGAACAAAATCAGGTGCAATCAGCTCAACACGAGCAGCATGGCTCAGTGGTTTGAGGGTAGTGGGGATTTTTGCTGGCGTTCTAGGATCGAGATATTCTGTGAAAGGGCTGTAGGTGGAAATGTTTTCCTGTGCAGCAGCAGCAGCAAGAGGTGAAGGAATACAAAGTACTAGAGAAGCTTGTCAGTTTAGACAGACATCCGCAAGTGCTGCGATTAGTACTGTGTTGGCATGTCATTGTGAACTAATGCTGTGGATTTTGGTGTCCTGCAGTTAAGGAAAAAGACCAAAGTAACTTGCCGTTTGTAGTCTGAAGCCATATCGTTTTCTTCAGTGCAGAAAGGTAAGAGGGTCTGGAGGCTGGAAGATTAGTGTCTCTATGCTGAGTTTAAAAACGCCCCTGCGTCTTAGAGGGTTTTTTAAGTCTTATGTAAGACCTTGTGAATAATATAAACACAGGGTGGGTGTGGTTATCGGTGAGGGTATTGATGAAGACTCGAGGATTCCTGTGGCTTTAATAATTCATGCTGGTATGATTGTTGCCTTTGTTTCTGCATTTTTAAATTTGGTGGTTTTCTGTTGGTGGCATTTATTATTATTATTATTATTTTTAATGCCTTTTGACTGTGTAAAGCTCAGGGAATTAAGTGGGGAAAAAAGGTCCAGGAGTTCTGAAGGCTGGGTGTACGGTTGTCTGCTGGTTCATTGGCTCATCCTTTGTGCAAAGGTAGATTTCCTTCTAGCTGTTGCTGATAATTAAAAATACAGCTGAGGGACAATTAAGTGGATCAGTTTCAGTGAATTTGTACAAAACTAAGCATGTGTATTACTGCATGCTCCTTTTGCATGCAGTTTGTTCAGCTACAGGTTCTTTAACATATTCTGTTAAATACAATCTTAATTCTGCATACTTTCTTTTCACATTCTGTACAGATATCCAGGACATTTAAGAAAATCCTGTTTCTTACTAGTCAGTGATTGACATTCCTATGTCACTATAAAGCTGATTTGTCTAAGCTGCATCTAATTATGAACCTTTACAAACTACTGCTCATTTCTAATTAGTACAATGAATAGCTTGGCTGTTTATTTTCCAAAATATTTTTAGTTCATGTATCTTCAGCCAGTTTTAGGGAACTTTTTTTCCCTATTTTGAAAGTATAAGGAGAAGCTTTTTCCTCTTTTCTGGAAAGAGTGACTTACTTGTTATTTTAGAAAAATAGTAAAATAAATGAGGTAACTCCATAAAGAATGAAATTGAAGTATTTGAAATTTATAAGCATTGCTGCTCAAGACCTATGTTCATGCGGCATACCAATCGATGATTTCTGTGCTGAGATGTCAATATTATTCCCATGGGATGCGCTGAGTAGAGCTCATGTTTGGGTTGCTTGCCATCTCATAAACCTTTTGATTTCTGGGGACAATTCCATTTCTTAATGATGAAAACCTGTAGAGGGAAGAAACATGGAAGATAAACTGTCATCAGTATTGTATAATGACATTTCAGTGACCCATTTTCTGCTGATAAAATGCAAATCTTGTTTTTTTTTTTTTTTCTTTTCCTTTTTTTCCTCTTCTTTTCAGCAGCTATCCTGTGAAGAGGTAGTTCATGAGATTATTTGACATCGTACTGATCAGAGATTGTTATTTGATTAAAGTCTGATCTCACATTCCCTTTGAAACTGGAAGTAGATGTCTGTTTCAGTAGTAGGCTGTAGGCAAGTCTTGTTATATGTTAGTACACTGTGTTTTCAGCCTGGTGATTATGGTGAAACTCATAGCAGGTCAGCATGAGTGCTTAGTGAATATCTCTTCTGTGAGATGGAATTAGTGAGCAGTTTAACTCATCTCCCAAAGATATGCTAATTACATACAAACAGAAGTAAAGGTGCATTAAAATGAATATTCTTGCTTAAGTGTAATATTTGAAACTGCTTTTTACTGCTGATTCACACTTTGGCTAATTTTTGTGCCTTCATAACAGACAAGAAAGTCCCCTTTGGATTTAGGTTTCAGGAAAAAGACAAGTATCACCACACTTACTGGTTTTAAACGAAATTGTCGGTGTAGGATGATTTTAATATTTATTTTTTTCAGAAAAATAGTCATGTCTGAAGGAAATGGGCACATGTGTTTTCACCTGATGGGCAAATTAAATTTTCCAATAAGGACAACAATTTAGATAATTGTTTTCATAGCTACACAAATAAGACAACAGAACTCATTAGTTTTCAATGTCAAAATTAAAGTTACAGTGAAAGGAAAAAAAAAAGGAAAATACATGCAAAATTTTATCATCATTAGTAATAAAACTATAATTTATTTTGATAGACTGAATAGAATTAAGTTCAGCATGAAGATTTGCCTGTATAAAATCTTACTTTATAATGGAGTTTGATTAACTGCAAAATGTCTGTCCTTTAGCTAGAATGGATAAGAATAATGGATAAGAATAATCATCCCACAGTCCTGTTGCCTTTTGTTTAGCTAGGATTTGTACAACAGTGATTTGTGATTAATACTTTATTGCTAGTAGTAAATGTATGTTCTATTTTATATGTAAAAATTACCATATATCTTCTTAAAAACATTATTCAACTGAAGATAGTTACAGTTTCTTTTAAACTGTAACAAAATCACATGTATCCCACAAAACCTGTATCTAAACTCTGATATGGAATAATATACATTTTACAATTGAAATTCTACTTTTTAAAATAGCATTTGTTCTGATGATTGAGAGCCACCAGTGATCACCAGCTCAGGTTACAGGGGCTAAATAGGAAGACAAAAAAATACCAATTTCAAATATTTCTGTCTTCAGTGCTGAAGACTTGTTCTAGCCACAGGGGTAAGCCGACACTTACGTAAGGCAAAGGCCGTAGCTGAGTTCTGAGTTCAGAAGCATAGCTAAGTCACCAGGCCTTGGCTGCAAGGAAGACAGGATTTCAATGGAGTTCCTTCTCTATGTCTTCTTTTCCCTGATAATTCTGTGGTGAGTCTGGTAAGGGGAATCACATCACTAGAGAAATTGAAGAAGTTGACATTACCAATGGGCAGATTGTCATCCTATGTCCTCTTTCCAACTTCTAATTAGTCTTTTCTCCTATCATGTCCTTTACTTTAACTTGTACATGAGAAAATGGCATTAATTTTTCAGCAAGTGATTATTATCCCTGCTTGCTGTGCTTCATTAGGACTTGTGATTTGGTGTAGTCCTTTGGATCAGCAGATACTGGCCATGAGT